GGGGGGTGGGGAGGCTGGGGGCCCTGAGGACCCTGTACCACGGCACTGACCACCATGGGCCTCCTCTGGTCTGGGGGCCCCCGGAGCCGGGTGCTGGCTGAGCCAGGCTGTGTGTGCCAGGCTGGTAGATGGAAGCCACTAGGGCAACCCAAGGCCAGCTGGTATTTCATTTTATTATTTTTAAAAAATGCTTAGTTTGAGAGAGAGCACGAAAGCAGGGGCAGGGGCAGAGAGAGAGAGAGGAGAGACTCCCAAGCAGGCTCTACTGCTGGTATTTTATTTATTTATTTATTTTAATTTTTTTTTTAAATTTTTTAATGTTTTATTTATTTCTAGGAGAGAGAGAGACAGCGTGAGCAGGGGAGGGTCAGAGAGAGAGGGAGACACAGAATTGGAAACAGCTCCAGGCTCTGAGCTGGCTGTCAGCACAGAGCCTGACGCGGGGCTTGAACCCACGAACCGTGAGATCATGACGTAAGTGAAAGACGCTTAACTGACTAAGCCACCCAAGCGCCCCTTATGTTTATTTTTTTGAGAGAAAGAGAAACGGAGGGACAGAGTGTGAGTGGGCAAGGGGCAGAGAGAGAGAGGGAGACACAGAATCTGAAGCAGGCTCCAGGTTCTGAGCTGTCAGCACAGAAGTTGACACTTCTGAGCCGAAGTTGGACACTTAACCGACTGAGCCACCCAGGCGCCTCTAACTTTTGGGCGCCTGGGTGGCTCAGTCGGTTAAGTGTCCACCTCCTGATTTAGGCTCAGGTCATGATCTCGCGGTTCACGAGTTCGAGCCCCACATCGGGCTCTGCACTGACAGCTGAGAGCCTGCTTGGGATTCTCTCTCTCTGTCTCTCCCTGGCCCCCGCCCTCCACCTGCTTGTGTGTGCTCATGCTCTGTCTCTCTCTAAATAAATAAATAACATTTAAAATAACAAACTTTGATGCACTAAAAAGCCCCAAAGAAGACCAAGACAGTGATCTTTTAGGGTGGTGTCATAGGTTGAATTGTGTCCCCTACAAGAAGATGCATTCAAGTCCTAACTCTTGGGACCTACAAATGTGACCTCAGTTGGGAATAGGGTCGTTGCAGATGTACTTAGGTAAAATGAAGTGGCATGGGGTGTGCTCCTAACCCAACATGACCAGTGTCCTTATAAGAAGACAGCAACATGCAGACAGACACAGGCAGGGAGAGGCCATGTGATGATGAAGGCAGGGACTGGGTTCATGCAGGGCAAGCTAAGGATTTCCAGAAGAGCACCGGGAGCTACAAAGGGGCAAGGAAGGCTTCCTCTGCAGCTTTCAGAGGGAGCATGGCTCTGGTGACGTCCTGGTCTCAGACTTCTGGCCTCCGGATCTGTGGGACCCTAAATCTCTATTGTTTCAACCCCACCAGCTTGGGGCACTGGGTTATGAGAGGCCCAGGAACCTAATGCGGGTGGAAGAGAGATGCATGACAATGATTTCTGGAACATGGTCCGTCTGCAGGGATGAGCGAATGGACGAGCCTGACGCAGCCACACAAAGATACAGCCACGCGGGCTCCGGGTGGTTTCACAAATGTTACCCAACGTCAGCCATAACCTCATAAAGGAGGGGTGACCGTCCTCCCTTCAAGGATGGAGAAACTGGGGCTCACAGAGGGGACTCCCGGCCTCACAGTGGTGGGGACCCTGACTCTGCCCACCACCTCTCCTGCCCCTGGAGACGGGTGCCTGCCTCTAATTTGCGGAAGTGTGCCCTGGGCATGGGAAGAAATCATTAGACACGCGGCATACCTACCCCCGTAAGCGGAGGCGTAGGTATTGCTACCATCCCCATTTTAGAGATGAGAAATGGAGGCCCAGAGAGGTGATATAATTTGCCTAAGGCTGCACAGCAGGGAGGAGTCTTAGATGGATGGGGTCTTGGCCTTCCAGGGAAGAAAGATCTGATGTCAGGGGAAGTCACCTGTCCAGGGTGAGGAGCTAGGGTGAAGGGAATGTGGGCTTGGTGTGTTGAGAAGCCAAGGTGGGGGAGCAGTTAAAGAGTGCTGAGCAAAGGCCCCCAAGTGGAGAGATTGTAGGGTATGTTCTAAAAATAAGTGGAGGGCACCTGGGTGGCTGTCGGTTAAGCCTCTGCCTCTTGATTTCAGCTCAGGTCATACTCTCACAGTTCATGAATTTGAGACCCACATCAGGCTGTGTGCTGATAGCTCAGGGCCAGCTTGGGATTCTCTCTCCTCCCTCTGCCCTGCTCCGACTTGTGAACACGCTCTCTCAACATAGAAACGAAAAACTTTAAAAAATTTTTTAAAGGTTTATTTATTTAAAAAAAATTTTTTTTACATGTATTTATTTTTGAGAGACAGAGTGAGACAGTGCGTGAGTAGGGGAGGGCCAGAGAGAGACACAGAATTCAAAGCGGCCTCCAGGGTCCGAGCTGTGAGCACAGAGCTGGGCTCAAACTCATGAATCACGAGATCATGACCTGAGCTGAAGTCAGACACTTAACTGACGGAGCCACCCAGGTGCCCTCAAAACAAAAAAAAAAACCTTTAAAAGCAAGTGGAGCCAGTATGTCTGGTGGGCAGAGACCAATCCAGGATGTGTGTGGACCGAAGCTTATGAAGTTTAGGGGCTTTCTTCAGAAAAATAATCTTTTAAATCCTACTTTTGCATATTTTACAAAACCACTGAACACACTGATAGGCCCTCTCAGACCTCAGAAGGGAAGGCCCTGAAGTTTGACCTTCATTCATTCCAGATGCCAGGCGAATCTGGGGTGGGGGCGGGGAGGACATGGCAGAGGCCCTGCCCTTCATGTTGCTGCCCTCAACCTTTAGTTGGGTGTTGCTGCCCACCGGCTCGGAGTGGGGACTTGGGCTGGTGCCACCTCAGGGGGCCGCCCATGGGGGACCCAGGGGGAAAGCACCTCACAGTGTGGGCAGATGCTTGAGTGGAAGAGGGGGTAGAGTCCCTCCCAGACCGGGAAGCCAACTCCCCGGGGAACTTCCGGCGGAACTTCCGGCGGCCATCTTGCCATGTAGGGCGGTGCTCCCCAAGGGGATCTGGTTCTCAGTTGGGTTCCCTCCCTAGGCCCCTCTCATCTCAAGGGTGCCTGGAATTGGGATCACAGGCCCTGAGCCTTCAGAGAACACAGAGGCCTCCCCCAGCAGCCAGCCTCCCCCTCTCCCCCTGCCCGGTCCCCGTACAGGTCACAGGGGGTGGCTTGTAAGGGTCAGCTGGCTGGGGGGTGAGGGAGAACACACTGTGTGGGGTGGGCAGCATCCTCTCCTGCTGTCGTGCTGGGTGGCTGCAGAGGGAGCGCAAAGGCCCTTCTGTGACGGCCATCCCAATGATGGCCGAGGCGGTGTGCGGCTGCACGGGGAGCATTCTGAACTTAGCCCCGTGAGCCAGCTGGGGGCTGGCGGTGGAGACTGGGCGCTGGGCCCGGAAGGGGGTCCTCCAGTCAGCTTGAGCCTGCCCACAAACAGGCAGCCGCTCCTGCTCGGCAGGCCGCCAGTGCAGGGCGTGGGACGTGGCCTGATCAGAGATGGCAGGGAAGGCAAACATGGCCGGCCTGGAGGTGGGGCAGGGCTGTGGCGGGAGGGTTGGCATGGTAGGCAGAAGAAGGTCCCTCCAAGATGTCTGCGCTCCAGTCTCCAGAGCCTGTGAAAGTTAGGTTATGTGGCAAAGAGGGATAAAAGGTGTTAGGCTGCCGGCCTTAACAGGGAGATGATTCCAGATTGTCCACACTGGCTCAGTGTAATGGCAAGACCTTGTGAGGGGAGAAGAGAGAAATGTGAGGACCCTGTTTGCCTTCACTGGCTGTGAAGGTGGTGGAAGGAGCCACCAGCCGAGGTAAGCAAGCAGCTTCTAGAAGCTGCAAAAGGAAAGGACAATGGATTCTTCCCTAGAGGCTCCGGAAGAAATGAGGCCCTGTGGATACCTTGACCTTAGCCCGGCAAGGCTCATTTCAGACTTGGAGTTACAGAACTGAGGCAATGTGGGTGTTTTAAGCCATGAAGGTTGTGCCCATTTATTACAGCAGCCGCAGGAAACTAATACAGGTGGCGAGCACTGACGGGGCCCGGGGAGGAGGAAGGGGCTCCGGGTGGGCCAGGCCCTGGACTGTAGGTACTCCCCCGGCCACCAGAGTGGGGGTGTCTGTGCCGCTGGCCTCTCAGGTGGATCCTGTTCTCCCTGCCAGTGTCCAGACCCGCGACTTTTAGAGACAATGAAAATAGCAAACACCTGTTGCCTGCCTGGTCCTCGCCGACCGTAAAGCACCCAACGACCCTAGGAGATGGGCACGATTATCGTTGCCATCTTAACGGCCAAGAAGTGGAGGCTCGTGTAAGTGCCCATGCCCACGCACCATGCTGCCCTTGCCAGCTGGCGGAACCTCACAGAAGGAGGCAGAGTAGGGGTGAGGCCCTCGTCCCACGTGACTTGCTCCTTATAGCCCCCAAACCGAGTTCAGTGTGAACTCCAAACCCCAGGTGGCGCTCACCCTACGGGGGGCCAAAGCCTGTGGCTGTGGGAAACGCACTTCCTGGCCAGGCCTGGGGCGCGCCTCCTTGGGGTGGGCACAGAACCACCCAAACCTCCTGGGCTCTCTGGCCTCTCGGCTAAGCACTGGTGCCCGGACCGTGCCCGTGGCCCCGGCCCCTAGGTGTGAAGAGGAACGGGAAGGCAGGAGGTGTGGCCGGCTCATGGGACAGGGGACAAAGGCCTGCCCACCATCGGCGCCTTGTTCCCCTGCCTCCCTGCAGACCTAACCCCTTGGTTCCCATGAGGAACCACCAAACCCGGCCCGGACCTCCTTACCCTGGGAGTCCCTCTGGCCGGCCACCGAGACCCAAAAACCTCACTCCCGGTTCTACATCGAATTCCGCTCAGCAGCCTGGGGAGCTGCGCACCTTGACACATATTTAATAAACAGCAAACACGGAGCCTATAATCAACTCCCAGACTGTACTTAACACGCTCTCGTTATTTCATAACGCAAACCACCCGAAGTTTGCTGGAAATTCATTTTATTATTAATAAGTCACATGATACAAAAGAATGAGAATGTTCAAAGGGCACTTGGTGAAATACTGCTTTGTCCCAAAGGGCAGCCAGCAAAGGTCATGGCACAAGGGATGCTCGGAGAACAGCAGGGAGGCAGAAGAGTAAAAACAAGTCACATGTCCACACCCGCGCCCCCTCCCCTCCCACAGCCAGTTGGCCCAGCAGATAAACATTCACCTGGATCCAAACAGCGGGTGGGAAGAGACAGCCAGATGGCTGCGTGCCAGGCGGGCAGGGCAGCCACTCAGGTCCAGTGGTTCCCGGAGGGGAGGCAAGATGCTCTCTGGCTGGGACATTCCAGAAGGCTGGGGAGGCCTATTTATTTAACAAGTCCCTACTGCTGGAGGCAAGCTTGCATTTCCTCTGCCCAGGCTCTCCAGGGGAGGGGAGAACAAAGCAAAGCCCAGTGCTGAGCCCGACCTGCCTCCTCCCTGCGTAAAGTCCCAGGAAGCGCCTGGAGAGCCACGGACCCACCACGGAGGAGCCTCTGAGCTGGGAAGGCCCCCCGCTGGCCTGCTCCTCTGGGAGAACGTGGGAGGCGGAGGCAGGGGAAAAGCCACAGCCAGCCTCCCTACAATGTCCCTGCAAAGAGGAGACCAGCTGGCACGGGACATCCTGGTGCACGGGCCGCCCCAAGGGTCTGGCAGAAGGACACCCGGCGCCGCCCTGAAGGAGCGCCAGCAGCTCCGAGGTCGGCGGGCGCATTCTCTGCAGCGGCCCTAGAGTTCACAGGCGGCGGAGAACCACAGCAGATGAAGAAAGAGCAAAACTAAAACCTGAAGCCCAGGGAGCAGCTTGGGAGCTCTCCAGGCGTGGAGTGTGGGTCTGGTGGCGTGTCGGTCCACAGGACGGCCACCTCCCGGCACAGCGTTGTCACCAAAGGCTGGCAAAAAGGCACTTTCCTTCGGGTCAGAGTGTGTCGTGGCACAAGAGGCCTGAGTGAGGGGCCCAGGATGCCCCCAGAGCCAGGCCCTGCTGGCTCCCTCCAGTTCCATCCGGCCAGGGAGGGCGTGGGGAGGGGGGGAGCTCGCCTGCTCGGGTCCTCCCGTGGCTCAGTGCACGGAGGCCCCCGCCTGCCCCACAGAGCCATGGCCAGACGGGCAGCGAGGGGGGAATGCGGTGGAAGGAATGTGGGGACGTGGTCATCAGGGTCCAGGGAAGAGACCAAAGACACACACTGGATCTGCAGGTCCCGAGCCCTATTTGCCGGCCGCCTGCCATCAGAGCCGCCACCGAGGACTCCAGAGCAGGGGACACTGTCCATCTCGAGAGGGGCACGAAGGCAAGTCCCTGGCTGGGAGGAGGCGGCCAGGGCCTCCTGAGATGCTCCCGAGACGGCGGTGGGGCTGGGTCCAGGGGAGGGCGGTGGGCTGCGAGGGAGACCGCTCGGGGGTCCCCGGCCAGCTCGGCGCAGCCCACATCCCATCCCACGCAAAGAAGCCACTGCCTCCCTCCCTGAGGTAGCCCTCCTGCCCGGCGCCTGGTCCCGGCCCTCAGGGAGAAGAGCGCTCGGCCAGGCCTCCCCTGCGCCGTCCCCCTGCCCGGCCGCTGCCCTCAGCCCTGCTCCAGGCTGTCAGTGGGCTGCACCACGGTGTAGCTCCCCTGGCCCATGGACAGCTGCCGGCTGAAGAAGGACGTGGTGCGCTTCGGTTTCACCCGCTTGATCTGCTGACCTGTCAAGGAATATGAGGAACACGCTGAGGGAGGGCTTCCCGAGGTGGGGCGGTCCGCGCCCCTGGAGCCTGAATTCCGAGTCGGTTCAGACCCAGTCTCCTCACTGGACCCACCAATCATCTGGACCTTAGTCCCAGAGCCCAGGTCTTCTACCGGGGGTAGGGGTGGGGAGGGGCGGGGCAGGTGGCCAGCCTTGCAAATTTGGGTTTGCATTTGATGCTGGGCCAGCTGTGCTGTCTGAGGAGCTTTTGCTAAACCCAGTTCAAGAACAGACCAAAGAGGGGCGCCCGGGGGGGCTCAGTCGGTTAACGTCCGACTTCAGCTCAGGCTGATCTCCTGGTTCGTGAGATCGAGCCCCGCACTGGGCTCTCTGCTGTCGGCGTGGACCCCGCTTTGGATCCTTTGTCCCCCTCTCTCTCTGCCACTCCTTGGCTAGCGCTCTTTCTTTCTCTCTCTCAAAAATAAAAATAAACATAAAAAAAAAAAAAAGAACAGACCAAAGAAACAAAACTAGACTAGCAACACAGACTAACTGGCTCGAGGTGAGCCTTGATAAAACAGATGGAATTCTTACAAGTTAGAATTTCAGGCCAGGTGACCAAGGTCAACACCAATGGTCACAAGTCATGTTGATAATGCACTTCTGATGTGATGTGATAAAAATGGCACTTTACTTCTATGACCTTCCTCCCTAACCCACAGCTCCTGCCTACTGACAAGGAAAACCTCAGGCAAATCCCAATAATGCGGCATCCTACAATATCCCTGAATAGTCATCTTCAAACTGTCAAGGTCACTGAAAACAAGGGAAATCTGAGAAACGATCACAGCCCGGAGGTGCCTACACAGACGTGGTGCTAAGTGCAGTGGGGCATCTTGGCTGGGGTCCTGCCGCCTTGAAAAGGGGCATTAGGTTAAACTGAAGGACTTTAATTAATGGGGCGCCTGGGTGGCTTAGTCGGTTAAGCGTCCGACTTTCGCTTAGGTCATGATCTCGCAGTTCGTGGGTTCGAGCCCTGTGTCGGGCTCTGTGCTGACTGCCAGCTCAGAGCCTGGAGCCTGTTTCAGAGTCTGTGTCTCCTTCTCTCTCTGACCCTCCCCTGCTCACGCTGTCTCTCTCTCTCTCTCTCCTAGAAATAAATAAAAAAATATTAAAAAAATAATAATAATACTGTATCAGTATCAGTTCGTTAATTATAACGAATATACCATATTAACCTAAGATGTTAACTAAAAAATCAAGCAACAAAAGAAAAAGAAGACAACAGAAATGAACAATCCATGAAGAAAACACAAATGGCCATGCATAGAAAAATAGCCCAACTTCACTAATATTCAAATACCAACCCAAGCAAGTTCTCTGTCAGTGTGATGGGGGATGGGCAGGTGGGGGGGTGCGCAACGTCTTCTGGGAGGGGCGCAAGTGGGCACGCCGCCTGGCACCGCAACCCTGTTTCTAGGAATTTATCCTGAGGAAATGGTGCAGATTCTAAGCAAGGAGTTAGCTGTAGCCGTGTTGTTGGTAGTGGCTGAAGACTGGAAATAATGGTCGTGCCCCACCCCAGGGAGCGCGGTGACAGCCTGCTGGCCATTCCAAGGGAGACTGGGGGGACAGTCAGGTTACTGAAAAATTATTCTGCTGTTTCTCTTTATAAAAATGACACGCGTGGGGCGCCTGGGTGGCTCAGTCAGTTAAGCATCTGACCTCGGCTCAGGTCATGAGCTCACTGTTTGTGAGTTTGAACCCTGCATTGGGCTCTGTGCTGACAGCTCAGAGCCTGGAGCCTGCTTCAGATTCTGGGTCTCCCTTGCTCTCTGCCCCTCCCCCACTCACGCTCTGTCTCTGTTTCAAAAAAAAAAATACAAATTAAAAAAAAAATGACGTGCTTGTAGTAAAAAATGTAGGGGCGCCTGCGTGGCTCAGTCAGTTAAGTGTCTGACTTGTTTTGGTTCGGGTCATGACTTCAGTTTGTGAGTTCAGCCCCGCATCAGGCTCGGTGCGGACAGTACAGAGCCTGCTTGGGATTCTCTCTCTCCCTCTCTCTCTGCTCCTCCTGTGCTCTCTCTTTCAAAAATAAACTTCAAAAAACATTTTAAAAAATGACGTGCTTGTGATAAATATGTAAATACTGCAAAGACGCACAAAGAAAAAGCAAAAGTGACAGTCATTCTCCACCACAGCTGGGGCGTCCCTCCCTCTGTACGCGGATGCAGGTTTGTGTGGGTTGTCCTATTACCCGATTCTTATTACTTGGTCTTAGTTTGTGAACATCTTGCCACTTATTAAAATTTTCTTAATGTTTATTTATTTTTGACAGAAAGAGAGAGAGAGACAGCGTGTGAGCAGGGGAGGGGCAGAGAGAGAGGGAGACACAGAATCTGAAGCAGCTCCAGGTTCCAAGCTGTCAGCACAGGGCCCAATGTGGGGCTCGAACCCATAAACCGTGAGATCATGACCCGAGCCGAAGTCGGACGCTCAACTGACTGAGCCACCAAGGCGCACCTACATCTTGCCACTTAAATGTAGGTCTTCGTTACTGCATTTAAAACCTTCTTATTTTGGAATGAATCTAGATTTTTCGAGAAGCTGCAAAGGTAATCACACACGTTCCCACGTGCCCTTGTCCAGCTTCTCCTGAGGCTGACGCCCTCCGTCAGCATCGTACGTTTGCCAAAACTGAAACGTAAACCCCGGTGCGATACGATGAACGGAGCACAGACTCCTGGACGCCCCCAGTTCTCTGGCACACGCCCTCCGTGCGCCCCAGGGCCCCGTCTCGGACAGCCCACTGCCCTTTCCCCAGCTGCCCTGATTCCACCGGATGTGGCCCCGGGTTTCTGTCCCCACTGAAGTCATGGACATCTAGTTTCTAGTTTGTCCCGTCTGGACACTGCTGCAGGGAACATCTGCGGACGCAGCGGTGACACGGCCAGAAAAGGACTCTCCCGCCAGGGCCCCAGAAGCCCCGTTCCCAATCACAGAGCGTATGTGCAGTGCGCGTGCATGATGTGAGCGTGCGCGGGCACGTGCTCACCTTCCTCCACGTAGTCGATGGTGGACAGGTGCTGGAGGCGGCTGCACACCACGCTGTCCTGTCTCCGCAGCTGCGGCCGCTGAGCGGGAGGGGGCAGGGGGCCGGCGGCCGAGGGCGGGCCGGACACGGTCTCCTGGGGGGCGGCGAGCTCCGAGGCCTGGTTCAGTTCAATGCAGTACTCGATGAGGCCGCTCATCAGCTCGGCCTGGGGAGGAAAGAGGGGCCGCCCTGAGGCCTGGGCGGTGAGCCGCGGCCTTTCCACACTCTGCAGAGGGGGACGGACGAGGTGGCCGGGCCCCTGCCTTCTGCAGGGGAGGAGGGGGCAGATGAGGAAGCAAACAGCATTCACACAAGGAAGGAAGGGGGGATCAGGTGCTCTGAGAGCAGAGGGACAGGGGAGGCAGCCACCTGGGGGTGACTTCGGGAGGTCAGTCCCGGAGGATGAGTAGGGGGCCCTGTCTCGGGTCTGAGAGGCGGGCTGGGCAGGAAAGAGCATTCCAGGCGGAAGGCCGTGCACCATGGGCGGCAGCAGTCAGGCCGGACGGGGAGAGGAGCTCAGCTGTGGGGACACGGTGCGGAAGGAAGAGGGCCCAGCCGGAACCTTCTGGGGGGGAGGGAACGGAGAGAGCTGCCTGACAGAGGCACCTGCGGGCCCGTGAGGAAGGCGGTGGCGGTCAGGTCACGGGGCCGAGGGTGGGGGTGCGGGGGGCGCCCTCTGAGCACGTTCTTCAAACGTGACACCTTCTCAACCAATCTTAAATGTAACACGTGTAACATAAAAGGTGAAGTGAGCGTGTGTCAGCAAGCAGAGTCCGGACACCTTTTGATGGGACACCAGGGGTCTGATGGATCCGCAGACAGACAGCGTCGGCGGCTGGAGGCCCTCAGCGCGCTTCCTGAGCGCCTACCCCGCGCCAGGTCTCCCACGGAGAGCGGGACATACAGGGACCAAGGAGGACGAATGGCTGCCTCATGCTCCCCAGAGGAGAGCCCACAGGGGAGGGGGCAGAGGCCTAGGGGATGGCCCCACGCTGACAGAGAAGCCGCCTGGCACACGTGCCCACACGGCGCAGCCCGAGGCCTCTCTGAAGCAACACCAGCCGCCCCGGGGAGGGGGAGCAGGGCAGGAAACCCCGCCGGGGCCCAGAAGGAAGAGCCGGCATCCATTCTCCGCACCCGCCTCCTTTGCCCACGGAAAGACTCGGCCACGCGGAGTGGGCCACTTGGCTGGCGAACGGGAGGGCAGCCGGTGGGGACAGAGGACCCCGGGCTGTAAGCATGACAGGGGAGCCCTCGAAGTTCCCTGGAACGAAAGCTCAATCACAGCGTGATGCTTCTGAGGTCCAGGGAGCCTGCCACTCAAAGGACACCACGTCCGACCAAATTAATATCCGTTCAGGATAAAGCTTGGCAAAGCAGTAACAGAAGGGAGCTTCCTCCACCTGATGGTGGGGGGTGTCTGTGAAAAACCTGCAGCTACTTCCCCCCAAGGTCAGGAGCAAGTCAGGATGTCTGCTCGCACCTACTCAACCCTGTACCGAAAAGTCAGGCAGGACAAACAGAGGCACACACACTGGGGGGTCAGAATACGACTGTCCCCGTTCACAGAGGACATGGCTGTCTACAGAGCAAACCCTGAAGACTCTGCAACAAAACTATTAGAACCAGTGAGTGAATTTAACAAAGTTGCAGGATATGCGATTATGGATATAACAAAATCAACTGTATTTTTTTTTTAAACTTTTTCTTCTAGAGAGAGAGAGTGAGTGTAGGAGAGGGGTAGAGAGAGAGAGGATCTTAAGCAGGCTCCAAGCTCACGGGGCTCGATCCCACAACGCTGGGATCATGACCTGAGCTGAAATTCAAGGATTAGACAGATGCTCAGCCAACTGAAGCATCCAGGTGCCTCCAAATCAACTGTACTTCTACATACCACAATGAAATGAACGTGGATATTTAAAGAGGGGATGTTTGTCTCCCCCTTTTTCTTCTTCCTGTTGTGGAGCATGTAGATGTGATGGCTGGAGCTGAAGCAGCCATACTGGACCGTGAGGTGAATTTAAGAGAAGAGAATGTGCATGGTAGAGAAACAAGGTTAAAGGACTCTGAATTCACAATAACAGATCTGGACCGCCTACCTATAAGGTTATGTGAGAGAAAAATTAACTTTTATGTTATTAAAAACCAAATAAATGAAAATAAATGAAAAAGTACCATCTAGGGTAGCGCGAAAGAAAGAAAGAAAGAAAGAGGAAGGAAGGAAGGGAGAAAAAAGAACCTTATGTATAAGTATAATAAAAGATATACAATATCTCTACGCTGACAACTATAAAGTATTAGAGAAAGAAATCAAAGCCAAATACAGGAAGACATAGAAATAGTTGGCCTGGAAGACTTCACATGTCAATTCTCTCCAAAATTAATCTATAGATTCAATGGAATCTTAATCTAAATCTCAGAACACTTTTAGGGGAGGAGGGGCAGCAATCAGCAAGCTCTTCCTTTTTTTTTTTTAATTTATTTCTGAGAGAGAGACAGCATGAGCAGGGGAGGATCAGAGAGAGAGGGAGACACAGAATCTGAAACAGGCTCCAGGCTCTGAGCTAGCTGTCAGCACAGAGCCCGATGCGGGGCTCGAACCCATGAACCGTGAGATCATGACCTGAGCCGAAGTTGGATGCTTAACCAACTGAGCTGCCCATGGGCCCCAGCAAGCTCTTCCTAAAATGCATATGGAAATGCAAAGTAACTGGGAGAGTCAAAAACAATTTTGGAAAAGAACAAAGTTCTGGAAATCATACCTGATTTCAAGTTCACTATCAAGTTGCAGTTAGCAGTACAGTAGGTTTATTAGTGAAAGACAAACACGTAGATCAAGGGCACAGGACAGACAATCCAGAAATAGACCCACACACCTGGCCGACCGGATTTCAACAGAGACGCAAGGGCAATTCAATGAAGAAAGGGTAGTCTTTTCAACAGATAACACTGGAACAAAAAGAAAAAAGAGAGAGAGACAGAGAAAGAGAATGTTGATCTACATATCATACTTCATGTAAAAAATTAACGAAACGGAGGGACGGTGAGCAGCAAGCACGCATCCGCGTGACTGCTGTGGACGGCTGGCAGTGTCTCAAGGGAGCGCATGCTGACCTGGGGGCCTAGCCGTTCCACTCCTGGGGGGACAGCCACATATGCGCATAGAGGACATGCACACCAGTGATCATGACAGCGCTGCTGGCAACAGTCCCAAACGGGAAACCCGAGTGTCCGTCAGCAACGGAATGGGAAAGTCAAGGCTGGCGAATGTAGACGCTGGGACACCAAGGGAGCCTCTCGAAAGATCAAGATCAAGCCACTGCCACCTGCAGCGGGGACAGCACACACACACACACACACACACACACACACACAGCCGAGCGGAAGAAACCAGACAGAAGAGAACTCACTGAGGAACCTGCTGCCAGAAGGTTGAGAAACAGGCAGAACGACTCGAGGGTGAAACGGGTCAGGATGGGGGGGCCCTTGCTGGGAGGGGGCTCGGGGGGGGGGGCCTCCGGGGTCCTGGTTCTAGTTCGCCATCTGAGATGTGTTACGTGGGTTTATTTTCAGAAAACCTGTTGAGCTGCACGCTTAGGATTTGGTAACTTTTCTCTCTGGAGAATCCAATAACACATTTACTTTAAAAAGGGGTCTAGCCTAGTGATGTAAGAATTACAGTCATCAGCAGGAAGTGGGGACAGCCACGTATACGAAGCCGTGGTAGGGAAGAGCTCGTGGATGCTAGGCCCGGGTGTCAGAGGAGCCACCGCAGGGGACAGGAGTGTCCAGGAGCTCACGGTCAAGCTGTGCTGGGGACAGAGGACAGACAGGACAGACATCTGTGCATTGGGTGTGGCAGGGCAGAGGCCGCTGGGCTTGCAGCAGGGAGGTGCAGGGGTGGGGGCTGTGTGCAGGGAGCGAAACAAAGGCGCTGAGGGGCCTTCGCCCTGCCACGCCTGCTCCTCCTCTGAGAGCGCCCAACTCCCAGGGGGCAGGGGGCCCATGCGGGCTGCTCACACGGCCACAAGCCCAGAGTGGCCTCCGCAAACCGGGCCTCTGACTCACAAGGGTGGCTCCTGCCTACCCTGGTCCCCAGGCCCTCAGCAGCCGTCTTGCCTCCTTGTCAGCCAGCCGGGAGCCTCCAGGACCCCGCCCCGACCTCGTCCCGGCGCACACCACGCCCACTACCTGCTTGGAGTAGATCTTGAGCAGCCTGTTGACCGGGGTGCCCTCACTGTCCCCATCGAACTCCAGCCACAGGACAGACTCCTCCTCCTCGGGGGAGGTGTGGTCCCACGACAGCTCCTGGAAACGCAGGCCCAGCAGGACGTGCTGGCCAGCAGGAGGGAGACACAGGGCTGGGATTCTCAGAGCCGCGCCTACTCTCCCGCCCCAGCCTGCTCAGGTGACACCGGGAGGGGACAGCTGGCCGGGCCATTTACTGCCAAGGCTGAGTCTGAACTCCTGTGTGAGCTTCTTGAAGGAGTCCCTGCTTTCATCAGACCCTCAAAAGGGGTTGTGGTCTGGGGGGGGCGGAGAGCCCCTGGCCCCCAGCGCTACTCTCCAGCTGGTCAAGCCCCTCACAGCTGGGGCAGTCATGTGGGGGAAGAGGCGGGCATGGGGGGCTTGTCCACCAGATCAGCGGGGGCATCCCAGCAGGCTGAGCCGCACTCTGGCCCAGCATGTTTGGGCACAGGTGCCCAGGAGGGGCTGGGGTCCCTCTCTGGGGACAAGTCACCCAAAACTTTTCTGCTGACTTAGGAGAGACTCCTGCCCAAGTGCAGAGAAAATCCCCATGGGCCAGGATGCCGATGCCACTGTCTACACAGGGAACCAACAGCCAGCCTGCGCCAAATGCAGGCCAAGAAGCCCGACCCGGGCAGCCAGGGACGGCTTCTAGCCGTGAGGCTTTTCTGGAAAACCACCAGCTAGTCTCCAGCCATCGGTCCAGCGGAGCGCCCAGGCCAGATCCCCTCCACCCAGAGGCCTGAATCCCAGCCGTGGCCTCCCCTTGCCCGAGCCACCCTCCTGCCCAGCACGCTAGGCAGAGAAGCTGATCTGGAGGGGACCCCAAGGAGGCTCCCAGGATGATGCTGGAGGGCCCAGGGAGCATCCAACAGGGAGGGAAGCCAGACAGGCCACCCAGTTGGCTTCGAGGCCAACCGCTGGCCCGCAAGAACCAGGAAGGCCTGGGTAAGCACCCCATGCCCTGTCCAGCGAGGCTCCCTGTCCCCAAGCCAGGTCCTGCCCTGGAGGAGCTGGGCTTACCTTCTCCCTGCTGTCGATGACATGCACTCCCTCCAGACTGATGGCCACAACCACTGGCTTTCGCCCGCCCCGGTGCAAAAAGCCCTGGGCCGGCTTGTCAACCTCACCGTGGAAGAAGGCACACCTGGGGAGGGGAACTGCCATCAGCCGGTCACCTCCAGCACCAGGAGGTTGCCACCAGCATCCGGGGTCTGGGTTCACCCTCCCCAGTGCTCTGGCCCCAGGCCCTGTGCTGGGCATATGAGAAGTTTAAGCTGTTTTGGCGACTGACGGTTAAATGGAAACCTGCCCCTGGGGAGGGAGAAACCGAGCGGGGGTGGAAGGGAGGCTTCCTGGAGGTGGTGGCATCTGCCCCGACCATGCAAGACAGGGAGGCTTGAACAGGCTGGGGGAGGAACGGAGGAAAGGCAGGCTCCTCAGATGGAGAGGAGTGTGACCCTGGGAGTGGGACAGAGGAGGTCACGTCTGGGCACCCGCCAGGAGGGTCTGGGGCTGAGGCTGCTGGAGGTGGCCAAGCTGTATCAGGGTTGGGAGAACTCGCTCCCCACCGTCTGTCAGGCCAAGACCCTTCAGCAGCAGTGGGGTCCAGCTGCACCTGCCCGGGGGCCACGAGGGAACGGGGGCCACCCAGGGAGGCTTCGGGCTTGACATGGGGAAGGGGAAAAGGTGTAGTGGCCTCGGCACGCCAACTCATTGAGCCACCACCCTCTCCCCCTGCCCCGCCACGTCCTTCCCTCTCCTACGTCTGCCTGGCCCGCCGCCCCCTCGCACCAGGCGCAGCCCAGAGTCCTTGCTGAACCCCACCCCGTGACTGCCCGCACCCTCACTCCCGGAGCGGCCGGGAGACAAGCACGTGCTGCGTCCGAGGCCTGAGAGCAGCCTCGCTCCTGGAAGACTTCTCCAGGTTCAGCGGATGGCTGGGACTCCTGCTTCTCCGAGGGCACAGAAGCCACCAGAAGCAGCCACTTGGCTACCCTCATCTCAGTTTCTCACCCTCTGTCGGATCAGCCCCATCCGTACACACACACATTTCATGCATCATAAAAATTAAAAGCCTCCGCCCCCATATCCACCCACAAATGCTGCATCCCTTGACTCCACTGCACAGCACTGACCCCAGAAGCAGCGGGCCACACCCGCTGCCTTCTGTCCCTTCTCTCTCCTCCACCCACTGCCACCCCACGATGCTGGAACCAAGGTCTATCATCAGCCACACAGGGCACGTTGAATTCGACCCGGAAGCAGCAGCCTAGGACACTTCGTCACTTCCTCCTCCCTGACACTTCCCTCTGCCCGCCTCACTGGCCCAGGGCCTCCGTGTGCCTGTCCACGCGCACCTCCTTGGCCATGTCTTTGGGCTCTAGGTTTCAGACCCCCCCAAATGCTGATGCTCACCAACTACTGCCGACTCTAGACTCAGAGACCTAACCGCCCGTCCGTCAGCTGGGTATCCGGCGAGCATCTCAAAATCAACACGTCGAAAACCATACCCCCAGCCTTCCCCAGCCAATTCCGGGGCACGGTCCCCTCCCGGCTGATGACACCATCTTCATTTGCTCGGGCCGCATACCTGCAGTTCCCTCTCTTCTCCTTCATCTGCTCCCCTGTACATCTGTCCAGCAAATTCTGTCGACTCTCCCCTCAACGTCTCCGGCATCTGACCATGTCTCAGCTCCTGCGCTATTACCACCCGGCCCGAGCCGTCTCTCCCCTTCGGGGCATGGTCACGCTGTCCTCACTGGTCACCTCACCGGTCTCTCCTCTGCTTCCGCTGCTGGCTCTCTTCCCCCCAGAAAGGCAGCCTCACCAGGCAGGGCCCGGGTCTCTGCTCACCGAGGTCTCGCCAGTGCCCCGGCTACGGGCACGCACAGGTCCCCGAGAGCTACTGACCACTGCCGGCGGCGCAGAGAACTGGCTACATGCAAGGTCAGCAGGCCCAGCGGCCAAGTGACCGTGGCGGTGGAAGGAGAGTCGCCTGGCCTGTGGCAGGAGCAAGGGGAGGGCAGGGGTCCAGCTCGGTGCCTGTGGGGCCCGAGGTGCCGGCTTCAAGACACAGCTCACGTGAGGGCAGGGCACGGCTGGCGCAGAGGGGGCACCCCAGCAGAGGCCAAGACACATGGCTGGGCGTCAGGGGAGGGGACAGCAGAGACCCCAGGGCCAGGGAGTCGCTCACCCGTAAAAGGGCAGCTCGTGGCTCTTGAGGAGGTAGGCACGGTAGTGGGTGCCGAGGGAGGGCTCGTGCTCGCCCTCGCTGCCGACCGCATCCTTCACCTGGCAGTAGGCATTGAGCAGGCCCTGCTCGCCTGGCCCGGCCTTGGCCCCACGGCCCCGGAGCGCAGCGAAGAGCCCATGGCTCCGCTTACAGAGGTGGGCAGGGAGGAAGGAGTCCAGCTTCTCCCTGCGGAGAGGGAAAGAGGGGTGCCCGGCGTGAGGAGGGGCTCCGGGGCTGGGGCCTGCCAGAGGGGCCGAGGTCCCCGGGGGGCAGCATGCTCACGGGCAAGGGCAGGCAAGGCCCCGGACGAGGACCGACAGCAAGCCCACTGCCACGAGCCCTGCGGCAAGCGTGGCTGGCGACAGGCCCGGAGGACAGGCTGGGAGACCAAAGGGGCGGCCGCAACCAGGCCCGCCGCACAGCCAGCCTGTGGCCGGAGGATTTGGGCGCAGTGTCTATGTCACTGAGTCAGGAAGGTTTGGATTTTTGAGCCAGTGGAACTTTTACGACTCAAAAACGGCGGCAAGTGACCTTCATACACCTCTCCACACGTTTCCTGCCAAACAGGGATATTAAAAAACACCCTGTCAAACCACAATCCATGAACACAGGTTCAAGAAGGAAAGGATGACTCCGACTGCTCATGACCACAAAGTAAGAACCTCGGCGTAATCATGCTGTTCCCGCGTCAGGCAGCGCTCTGACCGCGTGGGCAGCGCACCGGCTGCTGCCAGCCGACCACAGCCGGAGCTCTGTCTCTGAGCAGCGAGCACTTTCTCAGAGGCCCAACCGCCCCAGGGATAAAATAAGGACATTAACCGCTGGTAGCATGGAGGGGCGCCAGCAGGTGCCTGGCACCTAACGAATACCACTGAGGTTATCATTTTTCACCACAGAGGGGAGGGGTCTCTCCTGGGACTTCTGGCCAACGGAACAGCCCAGGCCACCCCTGGCCAGCGGGAGGGCCGAGGAGAGGAAGGAACTCGCCGGCCTGGTGGCCCAACAGCAGGGCGGTGTGAGGAGGGGTGGCCGGGGGGGGCCGCCACCCTCCTCGTGGGCACTTTCATTGCTTGTGCTCTTGTATCCTGTCTTCCAGCAACAGCCCTCACTCGTCATCTGGAAATCCAGTCTCCCCACACCCATCCGTGGGGCCGGGGCGGGCTCAGGGCGGGCCCATCAGCGCTCTGGCCACCACATCTCAGCCAAGGGAAGGGGACCTCAGGGTGAGCGTGAGGACTCTTGTGCATAAGGGAGGAGGCCTCTCCCGACACACAACTGTTGCGGCCATCCGGCCTGCCTGCCTGTGAGCCGGCCCAGAGGACACAGGGCTGGGCTGGGTGGTCCCTGTGGGGCCTCAGCTATTAGTCACCTGGCACAGGGCCCTGTCTCTGCACATCCTCTCCCCCAGCACGCCGCCCGCCCAGTGCAGGGGGGAGGAGCCTGGGGTCCAGGAGCACCCTGTGCTGAAAGTTCGTCTTCACTGCAATTAGCTCTAAACCTCAGGATCATTGTGCAGGGAGGTCAGAGTCCGGCCTGGTGTGCTTCCGGGGCAGACTGACTTCTCACCGCAGAGAGCACTGCTTCTTGAGCGGGGCTGGGAAGCACAGAGCCAGCAAGCCGGAGTGTCTGGGCAATGGGGCCTCGTCCCTGTAGTTCAGAACTAAGCCGGACTGTCACTGGTGACTGGGGTCAGGATCGGCTCAGTCCCGGGCTGTGACCTGGGAAGAACCAGCCCACCTCTCCCCTGCCCGATCTCCGATGGAGGCTCCAGCCCTGTGCACACCCGCGGCTCCTCTCACAGGCATCGCTTCACCCAAATCTCCCACTTCTCAGGCCCTTCGGCCCAGAGCAGATGAGGGAAAGGAGGCGCAGAGAGGTGGGGTGACTCGCCCAAGGTCACACAGCGCCAGGGCCAGCCCCAGGGCCTGCCTACACCTCCTGACTCCGGATCCTGTCAGATCGTCCAGGACTCCAGGACAAGCGTCCCGCCCCCGTGTCCCCGCCTCAGGTCCCACCGGCCCTCACCTCACGGCGCAGGCGGTGGGCTGGCCAGGCTGGTAAGGCCCGAGCTGCACGCGGCACACCAGTGCGCCCAGGGCCTCGCAGTCCTCCAGGTCACACGGGTACCGTGCAGCCAGCACATTGCCTTTGGCCTCCTCATAGAGCAGCCGCAGGACCTCCTCGTCGTGGATCTGCGGGCCGGTGTGGTAGGGGGGGCGGCTCAGCTGGGCCGGCGCACCAGCATCCCGGGCTCTACGGACAAGGGGAGGCCGGACGCGGGGCCCCGGAGATGGGTGGCACCACCTGGGGCGCGCCGCCTCACCTGGAGCTCCCGCCGCTTTGGGAAAAACACGTTCCTTCGGAACTGCAGCGAAGGCTCGTCTGGGGAGAGAGGCTGGGGTCACCGCCCGGCATCCCCCCCTCCGCCCCCCTGCCCTCGCCACTGGCCCGGCCCCGCCCTGGCATCCCCCTCACCCACCACGCTGACAAAGCCCAAGGGCCGTCCAGAGACATGGCTTATCTCGCTGCGCTCACAGACCCCCGGGGCCGCTCCCTCCGTTCCCCTTAAAGATCCTGTAAGACCTGGTAACTGCGACCCAAAGGCCCAAGGGGCTGCCTCCCCTGTCCCTGGCACAGACTGCCATCCACCTCCCCCCCCCCCAACACCGAGGACCCTCCCCGGGCAGGAGTGGCCGCTGGTGCCCGGGAGAGACGCGGGCCGGCTGGCGGCGGCACTGACCCGCGACCACGTCGTCGTCGGGGGCGTCGGTGAAGCGGAGCAGCAGTTCCGGCCACTGGCGGCCCAGCTTGTAGGGCTGGTGCTTGGGCTTCAGCTGCACCTCTGCGGGGCGAGAGGGAAGCGGCCGTGTGTGTGGCCTCTGATCGCCACGACTGCCACCGCAAACGACGGCAACAATAACAGACGGCAGTCGTGGCCGGTGCTAACAGAAGATACGAGCATCCTGAACCCTCGCGAGTGGTTTACGCGCATCTGCTCTGTGATAACGCTACGCTTGCTTCACTTGTGCAGAGAAAGGAGGCGCAGAGAGGTTAAGTTACTTGTCCAAAGTCACACAACAGGCGAGAGAGGGTCAGGCCTCAGGCAGCACCAGCCTCTGATGTTCCCTACAGCATGAGGTGGTGGCTGATGGAAAGTGCCAGAGATGGCGGTACAGAAGAACCCAGCACTGCCATTAGGAAGCAGAGCCCAAAACTGATAACTGAGGCCCAAAGGCCCAAGACAACTGAGGCTGCCCTCTCCTACCCCCTGGTGGAGCCTGGGCTTCCTCCTCGCCAGGCCCCACCCCCAGCATCTTTCCCAGGAACCCCAGCTGACCTTCATTCCATGCCATCCAGCTCGCCCACCCCATTTTCTCCTCGTTCCCTCTCCCACTCTGCTCCGGCCATACGGGCCTTCTTCAGTAGCTTGAATCTCCCCAGCGAGTCGGTGCCTCAGGACCTTTGTAAGTGCTGTTCCTCCTGCCTCAGGCATTCTCCCCCCTAGAGCCTCACATGACAGGCTGGCTTGGGTCTCAGTTCAAGCGTGTCCTTCCCCAGACCCTTCACTGAGGCGGCTCCCTCATCAACTTCCCCCATGCCACTGCACCCTCATCTGGTTGTCTTTTCAGTATTTACCACTATGTGATGTCACCTCTCTGTCCAGACTGCACTGGCTGGGGAGTCCTCATGTCACCTGGGCAACAGTGGCTCTGTCCTGTTCACTGCTGTACCGCTGGCCCACCGCAGGCCCTCACATGGGTGGACAGAGTGGCCAAGGGCATCACTCGTGGCCCCTTGGCTCTGGGCAGCCAGCTGGCCCCGGGGCTCAACACCCCGGGCCAGGAATGAGAAAGCACTTTCATTTCATGCACCAGTGACCGGAGCCTTTGAGGAAGTCAGAGGCCACTTCCAAGCCACCAGTGATGAAGGAGGGTGGCTGCCGGGGGTGGAGGCGTGGGGAAGTGCCATCAACTAGCTACTCCTGCCCTCCGACCCCGCTTCCGACCCCTACCTCCTCCCAGAGGGCCGGGCGCCTTATCCTGCCAGCATGAAGCCAAGGGTTCTCATCCCTGTGCTTTGGGTTTCCATCTTTTTTTTTTTTTTCTTTGAGATAGGGTGCAAGTAAGCCAGGAGCAGAAAGGGAGAAAGAAGCTAAGCTTGCCCAAAGTGGGGCTTGAACTCTCCTGAAGCAGGGCTCGCACTCACCCGAAGTGGGGCTCCAGCTCACCTGAAATGGGACTCACTCACGAACCATGAATTCATGACCTGAGCCAAAGTTAGATGCTTAACCAACTGAACCACCCATGCACCCTTATCTGGTCCGTGATCTTAACCCAAAAGGACAGCCACATCCCCCAAGCTGTTCTCCCTCCTGCTCGCAGCCTCTCCCATCCACTCCTGCATTCAGCTTCCTCACACCCCTTTCTCCTCCAACGTTTCTCAGATATTCAGATTTCTCAGGGGCTCCTCGTCCCTCATTTCCAACCTAGATCCTTGCCCACATCCATCTGTCACCACCTCTGCCTCACCCAGTGGCAGCATCCTCTCCCCTCCAAGAAAGGCTCCCTCTCCAACCCCAGCCTCCCCCCCCCACCCCACCGGCCACTCAGCGGGGGCTCTACATGCTTTCCACCTGGACGCTCCCGGGATGCCAGAGCCTGAGGGCCAGGAGGCCGTCCACTGAACAGGTGGGACACTGAAGCCCAAAGCGGGACAGTGCCTGCCCAAAGCCACCAAGAGTTAGTGGCAACCAGGACCACAGCTCCAGCACCACACTTAAGACTGCGACTTCCCCGAGGGCAGGGACGCCTTCGGTCCTGCTTCCCATTGTATCCCCGGAGTTTAGATCGCTGGTCTGCACGGGGCTGCTGGGAGGCGGCTCCGGACCTACTTGTGAGGTGACCAAGGTGACTGACTAGCTGGGACCCCTGGACACACTGAGGGGGAGAGTGGACCCGGGGCAAAGGTGCCCTTCCTTCTGTCTACAGTCCAGCCCTGCCGCCGAGCCCCAGCAGCTCAGGGGACTCCCGTGATCAGAGCAGGACTACGTGGACCTGAGGCCCCACACTTTCAGATGGAATCTTCCCGTCTGAAGGCTTTCACCCGAATGAGACCGATGGTCCCTGGAGCCTGCTCTGTGCGGAGTGGCACGGGCACTGAGAAGGACACGCATTCCTCAAACATCCAGCTTGAGGGGCGGCTCCAGCAGATGGCACCCCTCCCCCCCCACCGCCCTGGGGCATCTGTCATAGCTTAATCTGGGGTTGGGGGGAAGCCAAGGGTTCCGAGGGGCCTGAGTCAAAGATGAAATGGCCTTTCAGCCTTCCTGGACCCAGCCAGGAAACCAAGTGGGCGCCGACTTTGTGCTGGGGCCTCTCGCCACCCTCCTCCTGGACAGGATGGTGCCCCAGCGTGCCCCAGGCTGGCCACACAGGCAGCCCATTCATGTTCTTGCGCGGGGGGTGGGGGGGGACAGGAATGTGATGAGGAGGGAGTGGGGGCGGAGGAAGTAGGAGGAGCTGCCCAGCTGCAGGGACAGAGCCCGGAGCCAGAGGCAGGGCAGGGGTCAGCCACTTGAGACCGTCGCCCCCAGCTTTCCAAAGATATGAACCAAGGGGCCCGCAGTTCCGACTGACACCCGGAGGGTGAAAAGGGGGGCAGCTGAGCTGGGTGGGGAACGGGCGGAGGAGACTTGTTGGCAGGAAGAGGGTGGGCGAGAGTAGCAGCTGGACAGGAAACTCCATCAGGGCAGGGGGGTTGGACACAGGACATAGACAGGATGGAGGGAGCCGCGGCAGGGCACTCCGTCTCCCACTGGCCGGGAGAGACCCTCCCTCTGGGCTAGAGGCACAAATCCCACTGGCCTTGACAAAGACGTAACTACTAGAGGCCCCGTCACCCCTTCTTGCCCCTGTTCCTCTACAAGAAAGGAGAATATTGAAGCTCGGCAGACATGTCTGGCCCGGACACCTCTCCTTTGGCCCCCTTCCTGTGCAAGCCAGCAGGCTAGAGGCCCTATTCAGAGGCCTTAGGGACTCCCCCCACCCCCGAGCCCTTCCCCCCGCCGCCCCCCACTCCTGCTCCATCCCTGCCTTGGGATCTCAGCCTGAAAGGACCGGACACAGGTGGTCACGGACCAGAAAACAAGCCGAGTTGGACGCCCCCATGCAGAACAGTCAGGTTCCCACTTGTCCTGCCCACCCCACCGCCGGGGGTGGCTGCTTCCTTGGCCCAACTTCCTCCCTGCCCCCCCTCATCCCCCGGAAGCAGGATGCAGTTCGAAGAGGCTGGCTGAGGGGGTCCCGCCCAAGCTTCCATTCTGATCTGGGTCCTACCAGTCACTGAACCCACCACTCCCAGCCTCACCTTCGTCTGTAAGACAGCGCTGGGCCATGAGGATGGCCAGCTCAGGCTGTGGCATGGGCCACACGCTTCCCTCCCTGTCCCCCAGTCCTGCGCCTCCTCATGCCCCAGGTCCAGCACCAGCGAGGCTGAGGGCCAGGCTTGACCCCTCCTCTGCCACCAGCAGAGAGAGCGTGGGGGCAGAGGAGCCAGCTGTCCTAAAAGCGGGGGACAGCCCCAGGACATACATAGGTCCCGCCTTCTCCTGACGCCTGTGGCCAGAGGTTCCGGAAGCTGGCCCCTCCCTACTGGGCATCACCCTTCCGACCCTCCAGCCTGAGCTTCTGAGTGCCAAGCCTTACCCAGCAGAGGAGAGACAAGCCAGAGTGCGAAGGCCTCCAGGGCGATGTCCGGGAGCTGCAGGACCTCACGGACGGCCCGGTGCAGCTCGTGGGCAGTAAGCGAGGGCAGGTTCTCCACGGCCAGGGGCACCACCGTGTCATCCGCCAGGTACACCAGCACGTCAGCTGCTGCAGCAACGGAGATGGGCGGGGTCAGCTAGGCCTGCTACCTGGGCACAGACGCGCTGACCAAGAACCCTCTACCCGTCCCCCCCACATCCCTTAGAGTGCCTCTACCCTCTGAGGGCAGAGCCCCAGCATCCTCAAAGGACCCTGTGAAGAGTGGTGTTACAAGGCTTGAGACCCTCGAGCCACCCAGAAGCCCAGCAACTCTGGCCCAGGGACCAGCCCAGTCCCACCCTAACTCCCAAAGCTTCAAATCCCCACACACTCTCCTGGCAGCCCCAAGGACTCTGCTGGGCTTCGTCCTTGATGGAGAACATTCCACAGGTGAGGACTGAGAGCAGAGACAGGCCGAGCCCATCCTGAGATGATAGGAAGTCAGTGCATCAGGCGGGGAGAGAGGAGACCTGGCAACCCGCTGCTATTCTCAGGCAAGCAGCTGTCTCTCTCTGTCCCGGGCTAAGATAGAACAGGGGATTCCTAAGGCCACCCAGGGTAAAGCAAGTTCCAGGGCTCAGCTTCCATAGGATTCTTCAAGCCTCAGGACTCAATACCATGGCCTTTCAGGATAGTCTGACCAGGCCAGGAGCAATACAAGCTAAGAAGGTGTGTGTTCACTTGTGACAGCTGGTAGGATTCTTATTTGGAGCCTGGTGCCGAAGGGAGGCCCTTAGAGGAGGAGCCAGATTCAATCCCCGTCCCTGGAACTTCAGGTACGGTGAAGGACCACTGAGCTTGGAGGCCCATATACCAGGGCTCCAGTCCAGCCGGGGTCCTGGCTGGCGGGCTGGCTCCAGCAGGTGTGAGTGTGACTCGCTTCATTAAAGCAGGGCTAACACCTCTCTCTCAAAGAGAGGCTGTGAATCCAGGGGGGTAAAGCCTATGAAAGGCAAAGGCGTAGTTTATCGTCAACACACGTGAACGTGCATTTTGGATCTCTAGTCTGTGCTGCCCGTAACGGCTACTTTCTTGACAGACCATAAAATCATCTCCAGGAGGCTGTGATTCAGACTCACTTTTCAAGTAGGGAGAACGGAGTCAATGCAGGTTCCAGTACCCAGTGACTTAACCTCTCTAGGGCCCAATTTCCTTCCTTATAAAATGAAGATAATGATCCCTGCTTTTCAAACTGCTGTTTGTTAGAAAGAAATCAAAGTCAAGGTGTCACTTTCATCCTGAGATTTCACTTCAGTTTCACAGCTATGGAAGATAGGCTCATTTTACAAATGAAGAAAGGGAAATTCAAGAGCAGTGCCCAACTTGGTCAATAGCCTAGTGACAGAGCCCAGGTCCTCTGACTGTCTTCTGTCACTTTTTGTACCTCCACAGATCTTATTTGTTAATTAATAGATAAGATTCTCTTCAATGAAAGAGATGACAAGCCAGGGCCACTTCCCCAGGAGTGAAGCACAAGTTGGGTATGGGGAATAGGTGATGGGGACAGGGACCCACCTCGGGCTCCCACGGAGGACACGCTGCTTCGATGGGACCGCTCAGCGGGGCCCGGTTGCCCAGCATTATCTTCTGTCCCGTCCATCTACACAGGGAAAGAGAAAGAACGGCTACCGTGGGGTGGGGTGTCCAGGGATGAGGGGGTTGGGGAACCCTTCAAACTCTCATTGAGGAGGATCGGAGTCCCGGGCTGATCTGCACAAGTGAACAGCGTTGGCTGGGGGCACTGCGGTGCAGACCAGCGCGTCTTCAGCCAACTCAAGCTCGAGGCTGGTGGTCAGGGTGGCGGTGGTCAGGTGTGGGGTCGAAGCTCGACTCGCCGGGATGCCCAGGCAGGGCACGGTGGCCCCCATCCCGGGCGGGGACCCGCGTAGGGCGTCGCCGCGCTCTCACCTCGCAGGGAGTCCGTGCCCGCCTCTTCAGCCCAGGCTCCTGGTCTAACTCCGACCCCCACTCCGAAGCTGGCTAGGACTCCGGCACCCGCTCGGGCTGCGCCTACCCGGGCGGCGACACGGAAGCTGGGGCGGAGGAAGCGCGACGCGCATGGCCCCGCCTCCCAACCCTCGGAGCCAATGGGAGTCCGGGACTGCGGCGCACGCGCCCTGCCTGGCGCCAGCGCGCTCCCGCCTGCTACGGGCCCGCGCCTCGAGTGTTTGCTTACGCCCCTGGCCACCAGGCGGCCACCCTAGGAAACATCCCGGCCACCAACTCAGTGACGGAGGGCAGTGCCCCCCACCCCTTCCACGGTCCTGCCCGCTGGCCTGTAACAAGGTGTAATGAAGGTTCAAGGAAATCAGGAATGGTGACCGAGCTATGGGCGCTCACCCCCTCGCCTGTAAAACGGAGATGCATCCTGGGACGTGTCTGGGATCCACACTGTTCTGGGTGCTGCGTAAAGGTGACTCAGGCAGCAGCCTGTACTGCTGTGGCTCCTCCTGGGCCCTGAGTGGTCATGGGCTCTTTGCTGTGGTCAGAAGACTGGGCCTTTGTCTGAACTCGGCCTGGGCAAGTGCCTTCTCCCCCAGGCCCCAGTTTCCAATCTATAAAGTGAAGAGATTGAACCCAATGGCCTCCTAGGATTCTCAAGGTTATATGCTAGAAACCCAAGCCAGACACACTTGATTTTCCAAGGCGCGGTCACATGAGCCCTCTCTATCTTAGACACACAGCCTGGAGGCTTTGAGCCGTTCCCAGGCTAGAAAGTGGCGTGGGTGAAGAGACAGGTGTGAAGCTATTATCCCAGGGTCACGTCACCAACATGCCCTGGCAACGCCAGCATGTGTGTGCCTAAGGTGTCACTCTCAGGGAGAAAAACAGGTCCATGGGGCACCTTCCTGAGCCAAAGGAACCAGCAATTGTTCTAGCCACAATGGGCTGGATGATCAGGGCTGGGGAGGGCAAGAGGAAGAGTGGACTCACCCTTCCCTGACTCCCCAGCATTGGAAGGCTGCCCATCTCCTAACCCGGCACCGATTTCCTTAGTATTTGAAACATCTCTTCACCTGCCCTCCAGGACCCACACTGCTGCACAGTTGGGCCCATTACAACGTGTCTTCCTTGCGTGAACTAAGGACTCCAGCAAGCTCAGATGTGAGCTGGAGAGAAGAGTGCAGTAAGGACAAGCATCTGCCTCCAGGTTCTAAGTTCTGGGACCCTCAGACCAGGACACAATGGTTCGGTGGCCTCCCTAAACCAGCAGCAGCAAAGTGGGACCCAGTTCAGTGTGCTTGAGTGCTTACTGAGGGTGAGGTCTGGGCTAGGGCACTGCCCTGCCCTCAGGAAGCTTATGAAGCTCAGGAAGGTTGAATTAGGGACTGGAGGTAGAGAGGGAGAAGAAAGATGCCCGGAAGAAATGCATGTTTAAGACTACACAAGATGACAGAATTGCCTTAAGAGCTATCAGATGCTACAAGCAGGAAGAGAAGGGTTCTCGATTCCTGGGCCCTGCTGGGTGCCAGGCCCTCCCCTGTCTCCTCACGTCATCCTCATGGCTTGTAAGGGTAGAAGTAAGAGTAATAGTAGCTCGTTTGTGGAGCACGTACAATGTGAGAGAGAGAGACAGAGTGTGAATGGGGGAGGGGCAGAGAGAGAGGGAGACAGAATCCAAAGCAGGCTCCAGGCTCTGAGCTGACAGCACAGAGCCCAACACGGGGCTCGAACTCATGAACCATGAGATCATGACCTGAGCCTAAGTCGGACGCTTAACCGACTGAGCCACTGAGGCCCCTCTCTTTTCCAAAGTCCTTTAATCCTTATACCACACTAGGAGGTGAGTAGTGTATCTCCATTTGTTGGTGAGAAAAGAGGATCAGAACGTTTAAATAACAAAGCTGACGTCTGGCAGTTATGTGTGGAGGTGGTGAGGAGGCAGGGAACCCGGGGCCTCTCCAGTAGGAAGAGGTGAGATGTGAACCCTACCTCGGAGACCCTGTCTGCCCGCGAGAAAGTAATGGTGAGTGGGTGCTGCTTTGGCCACGATGGGAAAGGGGATGGGTGAGCGGGACTGATTCTTAGGCACCTGCTGGGGAACTAAGAGTTGTAACGAGATCTGGAGGGGCAGATGTCATTGGGACTTTACATCCTTTGGGGCCATTTGGAGATGGGGACAGAGAACTGGGGACCCAAGGGTGGCTGCAGGGCTGCCCACCAATGCTGCTCCCTCGCTTGTCCATTCATTCATACTTGCAACAAATATTTATTGCGTGTCTGCTCTGTGCTACACACTGTTCTAAGCCTTCGCGATAACATCAGTAAACAAACCTGCCGAGATCTCAGCCCAGACAGCCAGCATGTTAATTACGCCCCGCATCAGACGCCCGATGAGTAGGGGGGAAGAAAGGAGACGTAGAGCCAGGAAAGGGGCACCAGGAAGGGGCAGGTGGCGTTTGAGTCCAGGCTAGTCCAGGCCAGCAGGGAGAAGGGACAGCCAGTGCCCAAGGCCTGGAGGCAGGAGCCCTTTTGAAGAAGAGAGGGAGGCCAGGGTGGCTGGGACGGAGGTCAAAAGAATGTGGGGCTGTGCTCTGAAGGCTTCTAGAGCCTGCGAAGGACTTTGGATGTGACTCTGCGCAGGAGGAGAGCTGTGAAGGGTGTGGAGCGAGGACAGACATGGTCTGACTTCTATTTCAACTGCATCGCTCTGGCTGTGAGGTGGAGAACAGACTGGAAGGGGGCAGGGGTGGAGGCGTGGAGGTGTGGAGGCCAGGCAGGAATCCAAGTGGAGGTGATGGCAATTTAGGCCCCAGGCAGTAGCAGTGGAGGAGGTGTGGAGGGGTGAGGCTTGGGAGGCATTTTGAAGACAATACCAACACAATTTCTTTATGGAGTGTTGTTGAGCTGTGAGGGAAAGGGAGGGGATCAAAGAGGACTCCAAAGGTGGGGACCCACATTTGGAGCCTTCACCGATTTCTGTGGCCAATGGCGCCTGAGCACTGGATCTCTGTGCCCTTGAATGAGACCTCACCCCCGCCCCCCTGCCCGGCATACACAATCTGACAGAATACCTTGTGGCTGTCGACAGAAACAACATGTTACGTGGGAACCTGTGTGCGCCCTGTTAATGTCGGAGGCTCATCGTGTTCAGCACTTTCTGCCTGTGCCCTCAGCTCTGCCCTGATGCCCTGCACCACGTCCTGGCGCCCACATGCACCCGTGATGCACCCCCAGGTCTGCAGGGCTGCCACTGTGCTCCCGTGTCCCACTAATGGAGAAAGTCAACCACACGGCCCTGGCTGATGTCATGATCCTGAACGTGAACACCACCGCCCCAGAAACTCCCAAAGGACGTGGGAGGAAAGCACCTCAGGAAGCACGTGTCTTGCCACAGATCACTTCGCTGGTGGGGGCAGAGCTGGGACGACGCCACAGCCCCTGATGCCTCTGCTCGTGTCCCTCGGCCCCTCTAAGGCAGGGAGAGAAGGCGGAAGCAGGAAAAAGAAAAGTACCAGACGGGTGGGAGAAGCACAGGCATGAGCAATCATCTGATTCATTAAAAGATGCAACAAAATTGTCGATGATGTAAAATAGCATTTTCTTTTTTTTTTAAAAGGACCTAGAGGTTTGTTTTTTTTTTAATGTTTTATTTATTTCTAGGCGAGAGAGAGAGACAGTGTGAGTAGGGAAGGGTCAGAGAGAGAGGGAGACACAGACTCTGAAACAGGCTCCAGGCTCTGAGCTGACAGCACAGAGCCCGACGCGGATCTCGAACCCACGAACCGTGAGATCATGACCTAAGATCATGACCTAAGCGAAAGTCGGACGCTTAACCGACTAAGCCACCCAGGCGCCCCTAAAATAGCATTTTCAGGAATTCTTTTTTTTTTTTTTGAATATTTTTATTTATTTCTAGGAGAGAGGGAGAGAGAGAGAGAGAGAGAGAGAGAGCAGGGGAGGGTCAGAGAGAGAGAGGGAAACGCAAACTCTGAAACAGGCTCCAGGCTCTGAGCTGGAGTCAGCACAGAGCCCGACGCGGGGCCTGAACCCACGAACCGCGAGATCATGACCTAAGCGAAAGTCGGACGCTTAACCGACTAAGCCACCCAGGCGCCCCTAAAATAGCATTTTCAAAACGACATCGAAGAGCGTGTTTAACCGCTCTCAGCTCGTAAAGAGCCAGCGGGCGAGGGGGTTACCTGCGCACCGTGTAGCATGTTTACTGTGCGGGCGGCAGAGAAGGGCGGCTGAAGGAGGCAGAGAGCAGGAGAAAGGCACTCGGGTCCCTGCCTTGTCAGTTTGGGTTACTGTCCAAAGAGAAATGGGCAGTCACCACCCTTGAGCTGAGACCCACACCACCCTTTACACACTTGAACTCCCCAGCTCGTCCCCCGCTGGGGGCCAAGGAGGCATGGAGACGAGAAGGCCAAACTAGGGAAGCGGTTTCTGACTCACAGGGGGCGCTGGGGAGCCAGAAACAACCCTGGGAGAAAGCCTCAGGCCCAAGAGTCACTCCTCTCCTCCCACCCCTTCTGTCTGCTCGGCGTGCCCTCGGGCCTGCCCCCTGGTGGCCACGCTCCCTCGCTGCAGGCCTGGTGGCCGGTCCTGAGTGGGCGGCCGCCTGGCATCCGGTGCTGTGGGGAGAAAGGGGGTTGGACCCGGCTGGGCCGGGGAGGCAGGGCCTTGCCCTCAACAGGATCGTTAAAGCCTTGCTGGCTGAGGAAGCCCTGGAGGCTGGGGCCTGGCTGGCCCTGCCTGGTCACCGTGCGAGGCTGCAAGGCCATCGCTGGCCGGCAGGGGGCAGGCCACCTCGGCCATCGCCCCTGCGCTGAGATTTCATGCTGCACACCCTCCTCCGCTGTCGGGGCCACCCAAGTCGGCTCCCTCCCCTCTCCTGGTGCTGAGGTCTGGGCAGCGGGCCACCGCGCACCCTCCGGGCAGAGTTAAACATTAGTGGCAGGTTATCAGGCAGGTTGGGGGGAGCGGGACCCGGAACCTTTCCTCACCAGTGTCTCCTTTGCTGGGGCCACCAGTTCCCGCCCCCGCCGGACAATGCCCGTGGAGGAGTTTGTGGCCGGCTGGATCTCTGGTGAGACATTTTTCTCCCTTCTGTCACATGCCCCCCCACCCCAGTGGTGGTCACTTCTGGGTGACTTAGGAGGAGTGGAGACCAGAGTCCTGGTGGCCCTGGAGCACCTAGGGCCGCCTGGCACTTGCCCGAGAGGAGCCCTGAGGAAGCCGCGCCGTCTTCACCTCCACAGCCTCCAGAGCCGGCACCCTGCTCCCCTAGACCCACCCTGTGGGGCTCAGAAAGGAAGTTCACCTTTGACCCTGGCAGCTATACTGCGTTCCCCTTCGGGCCTCTGCCCTACCCGGCAGCGGGCTGTGGGCCCTGGCGCTGAGGCCTGTGCTGTGGACCCAGCGCAGCTCCTGGGCGACATTTCTCTCAGAAGAAAGAGAGGGACGTTCTGAACCCGCCTCCTGAGAATGTGACCTCGCCCAAGGCTCCAGGACTTGCGCCTGCCATGCAGGGATGATGGCCTGGGGGCTGGGGGCCTCCGAAGCTGTTCTAAGGGCCCCCAGCTCTGTCCCGCTGGCTGATGGGGTGGAGCGCTGGGAGAGCAGGGCCCGGTCTAGGTCTAGATCAAGGCCGCATACGCCACAGCGGCCGTGAGTTGAAGGCAAGAAGGAAGGAGTCAGGCTGGCAGCGAGGCAGGTGGCCTGGAGAACTGTCCCACGGCTCCGCGGTTAGACAGATGAGACGGGCGGTGTCAGATGCTATGAGGACACCGTGTCTGTGGTTGGCGCCTCCCTTTGGCCCATGTCCTCCAGGCGGGGCCGGGCCTCTCTCTGACTGACCCCTTGTCCCCACGTCCCCATGCCTGGCTCGCCCAGCACTTGGTGTGGAGGAGGGCGCAAAGGGACCAGCTGGATTTCCTTGGGAGTCTGGCGGGTAAGGCTCTGCCCCCCCTTCTCCCGCCTGAGCTCCCCTTTCCTCTAGGCGCGGACCTGCTTCCTCTGCCCGGCGCAGGGGCCTCACTCATGGCATCTTCTTATCCCGCAGGAGCTCTGGGGTTGGTCCTGGGACACCCTTTGGACACTGTGAAGGTGGGTCGCGGGGACGCACCTGAGGAACAAAAGATATGACCTGAACCAGACAGTCCGGATGCCCGAGAGGGGCATCTTTCCTGTCAGTCCCACACCTGCTGGCGTCCTGCTGGGCAGAGGGAGGAGCTGGCCCCCTCCCGCCCCCCCCCTGCCCGTCCCTGCCTCTCTGTCCTCCTCATCCAGGTGCGGCTACAGACCCAGACCACGTACCGGGGCATCATCGACTGTATGGTTAAGACCTACCGCCATGAGTCGGTGGGTGTCTTGCTTCTTTGGGGCTTTGGGATGGGACACATCTGGGTGACCGGTACCAGCTCCCTTGTCCCCTGCCAGGGCTCTGCCCCTGGAAGAGAGAGACCCTAAGTCTGGGGCTCCTGGGGGATGGGCGGTAGCCCGGTGCCCCATGGATGGCGCTGAGGCTGCCTCGACCTCCCTTGGGCAGGGCTCAGGAGTGGTTTCTAGCCAGAGGAGACCCTGCCGGAGGTAGGAAAGGCGAAGAGGGGGCCCCCTCGGTCCCCCAGCCACTCTGGCGTTGCCACGTCTTTCTACAGCTCCTGGGCTTTTTCAAGGGAATGAGCTTCCCCATCGCAAGCATCGCCGTGGTCAACTCCGTCCTGTTCGGGGTCTACAGCAACACGCTGCTGGCGCTCACGGCGACCTCCCACCAGGAGCGGCGGGCCCAGCCGCCCAGCTACACGCACGTCTTCGCAGCTGGCTGCACTGGAGGGTTCGTGCAGGTGAGAGGGCGGTGTGGGGCGTGAACACCCAGGTACGCTCACGCACGTGCACGCAGGTGTAAGCACACACACACACGCATGCGGGCACAGCGAAGGGCCTTTTGCTGCTTCCCCTCCCGGCCCTCTCTGCAGACCCCGGGTCTCCCCAAAGCGTACAGAGGAGCTATGGGGAAAGGACTGGCTCCTGGCTTCTGCCTGCTGACCAGGCCTGGCCGAGCCGTGGGCTTCTGGGCTGCGGGCCTGGAGGGAGGGTTGTGGAGAAAGCCGGGGTGGGGGGGGCAGGAGGCGGAGACAGCTGGGGGCCGGGGCCGGGGAGACGATGCCATGGAGGACACCATGGAGAGCGGTCGACACCCCACCCTGAGGCTGACGGGGTTTGCCCCCTCCGGAGGGCACTGCCAGCCTCAGGGCTCAGGGAAGACTTCTCCCCAAGGTGACCTCTGGCCCTGAAGAACTGGGAGTGCTCCCTGAGCTCCGATCTCAGCCCCTCCAGTCCTGGCGTGGGCCTGGCACTGCCCCAGCCCATGCCCTGCTCAGCCCCTGTGTCTGCACTGTCTGGTGGGCCGGGATCTGTGAGCCTCACGGGGGCCCTGTCCACAGATCTCCGGGCGAGAGGCCCGGGGCGTTAATCATTAATAGCTCTCATCATTCGGTTTTGGTCTTTGTTCTCAGCATGTGTAGTATCCAGCTTTTGACTGATGGGGTGGAGGAAAGAGGGGCTTCCAGGCACCAAGGGGAACCCCAGCTGACTGGGGAGCATGAGCACAGAGGCAGAGGGACTCCAGCCTGGCTCCACCCCACCCCCCAGCCAGGCGCCTTCCCTCACCCCCTATTTGGCACTTGGCCTGATGCTCCCAACACACCTTGGGGCAGAGAGCAAGGACAAAGGACAGAATCAGGCGGCTCTCACTCAAGTGAATTAATGATTCATGAGACCCCCCATCCCCAAAGGTCCCGGCTTTTCTCTTGCCCCTCCTTATGCAGGACACATGCCTGCATATTTCCCAAGCCCCGAGACCTGCACAAAAACAAGGAAGAGACCCCAGGCTGGCGGCCGGCCCGGCGTGCCCAGCTCCTGAGTCACCCTCCCCTCCCGCTCTTTGCAAAGCAGAAGAGATAGCAGCAGGGGGCGCTGTAAGGGCCCCTGACCCGGGATCCTGTCCAAGGACAAACTGTAACTCAGTTTCCCGTCAAGCCCATGGATTCGGTTGACAGAGCAGGGTCTCGGAGCAGAAATTGTGTTTTAGCGTGGGGATGGGGAGGAAGAGGCAGGAAGCGACTCTGGTCAGCACCGGGAATGACAGCCTCTGATGTGCACAAAAGCTGCCTTTGGCTCAGCAAAGGCTGACCCTGTTAAACACAGCGGCAGCCTCTGCCGTCCCCACCGCCCCTGTGGGCACATGTTGGGGAAGGTGGGAGCCCAAACCTGGCCTTGCTGGCCACCCAACCCTTGGCTCAGCCATTTCCTTGCCCTTAGGAGCCCTGGGCTCAGGGGCACATATCCTGGAGGAGGCCTGAGTTTGGCTCTGCCCCGGGGCAGAGGGAGGGAGCCCAGCCCGCTGCCCTTTCTGCAGGGGAGGAAGTGAACAAAGCCACTCTCTGACCATCACCGACTGCCTCTGCCCTCAAGCTGTCCCCAGGGCTGAGGACCTGAGCTTGTGTACCTTCCACGAAGGAAACAATAACCACAAGTGTACCTTCCACGAAGGAAACAATAACCACAAAAGCCCCTCACAACATGCTAACCTCAGCCTCACCTCAATTTTCATCTGAACTTTAACAGCTGATCTTGACCTAGGGCATCCCTGACTCACGCACTGGCCCCTGCCCCCCAGCTTCCCTCCACATCCATCCAGAACCCCCCTCAGTCCTAATAGTTCCCCAAATGTCTGTCCCTTCTGCCTCCACCAGGTGATAAAGTCCCAGGTCCTGCATATCCCAGCCTCACCCAACTTCCTTGGGACATAAGTGGTTGGGGGTTTGCGGGAGGCAGGAAAGGCTGGCCCAGCACTTGACCCCCTAGGAGGCCTCTGAGAGGTGTCCTGCAGGAGGTGGGGGAAGGAGAATCTAGGAAGCAGAGTCCCCAACAGGACTGAGGTGACCTCCTTAAGCCTGGGGAGGGGTCAGCCCTTTGCTGTCTCATGGGCACAGACAGAATCCTTTCTTCAGACCCAATGACGGCAGGTGGGTGCTCACCCTGGCCTTCGGGGGGCTAGAAACCTACCCCCATTCTTGAAGAAACAATCCAGGATTGTCTCCAAGCACTGAGCACCAGGCAAGTTCAATGCTGTTGTCCTAGGAGAGGGGCAGTGCTGCTCGCTGTCAGGGGTCTGATGCTAAGGAAGCCGTCTGGCCCGGCCCAGCCCTGTGTGCAGGGGCTGCAAGCCGGGTCAGCGGGAGGGGCGAGGCCAGGAGGGAAGATGGCCCCCCTACCTTCCCCTTGTTAGAATCGACCCGTTGTTCTCGCCCAGAGCGCCACCCAGGGTCTTCTGCTTCCTTCCCTACAGGTCTACTGCTTGGCCCCTTTTGACCTCATCAAAGTCCGGCTACAAAACCAGACAGAGCCGAGGGCGCGGCCTCCGGGCAGCCCCCCACCCCGGTACCGGGGGCCTGTGCACTGTGCAATCTCCATCTTCCGGGAGGAGGGGCCCCGGGGGCTGTTCCGGGGAGCCTGGGCGCTGACGCTGAGGGACACCCCCACACTAGGGATCTATTTTGTCACCTATGAATGGCTCTGCCGCCAGTCCACGCAGGACGGCCAGAACCCCAGTAAGTGAAGTGGCGTGAGGGGGGCGGGGACAGAGAGGAGTCGGGGCGGAGCCGCCGAAGGATGGGGAGGGGCCCTAGGGATGGGGGCGTGGTCTGACAGCCGACTGGGCTTCCTCTACCCCAGGCTCAGCCACGGTGCTGGTGGCAGGGGGCTCTGCCGGCATCGCCTCCTGGGTCGCAGCCACCCCCTTGGACGTGATCAAGTCCCGGCTGCAGATGGCTGGACAGAAGCACGGGGCGTACCAGGGGGTGCTGGACTGCATGGTAAGCAGCGCCCGGCAGGAAGGTCTGGGGGTCTTCTTCCGGGGGCTGACGATCAACAGCGCCCGGGCCTTTCCTGTCAACGCCGTCACCTTCCTCAGCTACGAGTACCTCCTCCGCTCGTGGGGATGAGTCCGGCCGGGTGACGCCGGCCCCTCCCCGGCGACACCAGCGCCCAGCTGCCCGGCTCCGAGGCCGAGGTGAGAGCACCAGCCTGCGGTCCGATTGGAGAGGCCCGGCCCTTCCTCCGGGTGAGCAGCCGTGCGGGGCAGGAGGCCCCGGGGCCTGGACTCCGGAACCCGAGGCTGACGTCAGCCCCCCAGCAGGGCTCGCCAGGAATCTGCGAAGTCCACTCCCCTGGCCAGTGGTGCTGGCGACCTTCTGGCCTCCATCCTGGGGCTTCACCCATTCAAGAGTTTTTAGAGCTGGGACCCTAGGGCGCTAACCAGCCACCCCCTGGATTCCAGCGACTGTCCTCACGGGCCTCTTCCTCACCTCCTTTCAAACTGCTCCCCGGGTGACCCCCCTGGAGAACAGCCTTCTGTCCCCTGCTGGTCCAGAACCGTTCAGTGGCTTCCTTTCCCGTCTGAGGGAGAGCCCTCCCCCCTTCCCCCCCCCCCCGCCCCCACCTCCTAGGCCCTCCCTGCCCACTGGCTTTCTTCTCCCTGGGGACTTCCGCAGCCCAGCCCTGCACTTGGAGAACAAGCTGTGCTATCATTGACCTTGGCCTGGAAGGCTCATTCCCTCCCGGCCAGCAGCAGGCAGCGCCCTCGGGGTGGCTAAGCCCCCTCCGCCCCCAGGCTGAGCACTGTCTCCCAGAGCCCTTCCTTGCCTCCCCCTTGCCTCACGACTGGCTGTGGGGTTTCCATACCACTCCCAACCCCCCACCTCGTCCCCTGATCTCTCCCACCTCCCCCACAGGCTGGGTCACCGCTCTCCTTCCCCTGTGCTTTGTCGTGGCTGTTGATTGGCTTCTCAGCCTAACCCCGTTACACAGGGAGCTCCTTGAGGTCAGGGGTCAGACTTCCGATTGGTCCCCCCCTCCAGCCACGGCACCTGCTTCCTTGGTACTGTACACCCCCATCTTTCCACTGGGAGTTTTTGCCCTGCCTGGCCCCTTTTGGAGTTGCCTCCAGGGGAGTGGTGCCAGAAGTCGGGGACCACTCCCCCTGGGGGGTGCCGGCCTGGCCACTCTCATGAGTGCTGCTTGTTTCCCTTACTCCGCTCAGTTGCTAAGTGGGGGTTACAGACTGGCTAAGAGGGGTTACTTAATTGGCAATAAAACCGAGGAGAGTGTGTACCCACTGATGTCCCTGTCTGGTCTGAGATCAACCTGGGCCCGCCTTCTGGTGACCCAAATGCCTGGAATTCCTGCCACTTACTGGGGGCTCCCTATGAAAACCATCACAATAGGGGCGCCTGGCTGGCTCTGCTGGTGGAGCATGTGACTCTTGACCATGGAGTTGTGAGTTTGAGCCCCATGGTGGGTGCAGAGATGACTTTCAAAAAACAAAATAAAATCTTAAACAAAGCAAAACGACACATCATTGGGTGCCTGGGTGGCTCAGTCGGTTAAGCGCCTGACTTCTGATTTTGGCTCAGATAATGATCTCCCTGTTCGTGGGATCAAGCCCCTAGTGGGGCTCTGCGTTGATAGTGCAGAGCCTGCTTGGGATCCTCTCTCTCCCTCTCTCTCTGCCCCTCCCCTGCTCATGTGCACACTCTCTCTCAAAATAAATAAACTTTAACCACCCCCCTAAACCATCACAATATTATCACAATTTACAACATTATAGCTCTTTATCACAGCCTCAGCTCAGAGACTGTGTAATGTGTCCAAGGTCCCACGGCCAGTAAGTCACACAACTTGCCTGGACACATCCAAGCCTCCAACTCCAGAGCCCAGTTACTCTGCTGCTCTTCTCTACCTGGGGCCCGTCACAGCCTCCCACCAAGTTCAAACTCACCGGGGCTCCATGTGTGCTCCTCAGAGCTCTCCTTCACTGGACGGGGGGCTGCAGACTGCGGATAGCACCCAAATCGTGACACCTAGGGTTAGAGTGTGGCCACAACACATGTGCCCGCTCAGCCAGGCTCCGCTTCCTAACCTTCCGTGCAGCTCAGAGGGCTGAGCTGTCCCTGGGCTTTTGCTAGAGAAGCGTGTAATGCCTGCAATTGCCCATCTCTTTATTATACATTTTTTAATGTTTATTTTCTTGATATATATACATATATATATATATATATAGAGAGAGAGAGAGAGACAAAGCATGAGTGGGGGAGGAGCAGAGAGAGAGAGGGAGACACAGAATCTGAAGCAGGCTCTGGGCTCCGAGCTGTCAGCACAGAGCCTGATGCGGGGCTTGAACTCATGAGCCCCAAGATCATGACCTGAGCTGAAGTCAGATGTTTAATCGACTGAGCCATCCGGGTGCGCCTCTCTGGTCCCTTTAAAACACATTAAAGCTTAAGTACTGGTGTTCAGATGCTCCTACAAGCAGAAACGTGTGTGCTGTCCTCTCGAGCTAAGGGAGTTATGAATCCGGTAGAAGGGACTAGAATTCCTCGCTCCAGTGGCCTCCCCTCCTGTCCAGGAAGCTTCAGGAAGCCTGTGTTCCTGATATGGAAAGACAGGGTCTGTCTCAGCCAGTCACCACCCTTCCTGTGCCTCAGTTGCCTCTGATGTCTGGTCAGTTTGTGAGCCCCAGTGCCTGCCCAGCACCGCTTGGGTGGGTGCCAGGGATTTGGGGCGAGATAGGGCGGTGAGGGTACAGCAGTTGTTGGGGGCGGGGGTGAGGGGCAGTCGGTACACGTGAAAGAGAAGGTGGTGCTTATACATGGGCCAGAAGGCAGCAGGAGGTCAGAGTGGTCCTCTGTAGTTTGCCGTTCTGCACCTTACCAGTCAGCGAGAGAATAAACTTTAAAAATCCTTTCTTGACTTGGTTTTAATTAAATCCTCTTTCGGGGTAGTAATTACACCCATAACCTGCCTTTGTACTGTCTAGGCAGAGACTTCTGTTTTCCCTGGTTCTTTCTAGAGGTTTCTTTGCAGGCTGGAGCTCTTCTCCTGTCCTCACTTACAAGCAGAGACCTCGCAGGCCTCCGGCACATGGCCAGGGCGCTAGCTGGCAGCAGAACTGGAGTGAGTTTAGGGTTAAGTGTGAACATGACTAGTGGGAAAACAACTCATTCCTCTTTCAGAGGCCCCGGGAAAGGACACAACAGTGTTGGAAAGGAGGGTGGAAAGACAAAGATCAAGCAGGAAGTGGCCAAGGATAATTAAAAAAACTTTTTTTTTAATGTTTATTTTTGAGACAGAGGGAGGGAGGGAGAGAGAGAGAGAGGCAGAACGCAAGTGGGGGAGGGGCAGAGAGCAAAGGAGACACAGAATCTGAAGCAGGTTCCAGGCTCTGAGCTGTCAGCACAGAGCCCGACATGAGTCTTGCACCCACAAACCATGAGACCATGACCTGAGCTGAAGTCAGACGCTTAACCAACTGAGCCACCCAGGCACCCTCAGGATATATATTTTTTTATGTTTATTTATTTAGTGAGAGAGAGCATGCATGCACCAAGCGGGAGAGGGGCAGAGAGAGAGGGAGAGAGAGAATCCCAAGCAGGCTCTGCACTAACAGCCTGATGCAGGGCTCGAACTCACAAACCATGAGATCATGACCTAAGGCGAAATCAAGAGTCAGATGCTCAACCGACAGAGCCACCTAGGGGTCCCCCAAGGATGTTTCTAAAAGCCGCACGTTATTTACATCAGTGGGGTCTCATAATACTCGTGTTAAATTCCTCAAAGAATTAACATGTTGTTAGGGGTCATCATTATTTTCGAGAACTCCCTGAGCTCGAAGGAATCCCTCAGAACCAGGAAATCGTAAATGCACGTGCTTCGAGGTTGACGCCAGGGATGCTGTCTGAGGCTTGCACGTCAGGAGCTTGTGACTTGGGCGGGCGTGAATAACGTCTCGGTTTTGTGTTGCCAAATGTCAGCCTTATTTTTATAGCAGTGACCACAGGAGGCTAACTTATGTGGATAGTGACACAAAGGCTCCGTGTGCAGGTATAGGGGAAATGACACACCTCAGGACGATTCTGGCTTAAATCACTTCTTCCAGACTCATGGGGATTCACTTGGTGAATGTGACTCAATTGTTTCCGGCTTGACCGCTGGCCTGAGCTCCATGCCCACACTGCTCTCTGTCTTTGGTCACGCATCCCTGAGGATCCCGAAGGCGCATCATGGTTCCTTATCCCCAGCTGGCCCCTGCTGCGCGCTCTGCGGTGCAGGTATATCTCGGTATACCTCAGGCTAGGTGTCTCTGGGGAGCTCTCCTTTCCCCTCCTCCCCTATCAAAGGAATCCCCAGCTCCTGCCAACCCTGCTTCTGAAGTTTTCTAGAACTCACTCCCTCTTTTGCCGTCTGCATGCCACAGCCTTGGTCCTGGCCTGAATCTGAACAAATAATTCAACTTTTTCAAATGCAGCTCTGATCAAGATACCCAACTCCTCTCATTCCTCCTCGATGGCTTTCCACCACTCTGAGGAATCGGGGCAAGCTTCTTCTACAAACTTCAAGGCCCTCAGACATTCACCTTCCCTTGGGTCCTTAACCAACCAGATTCCCTCTGGCCTCAGGACATTTGGACATGCTGTTCTCACTGCCTGTGTGCTTCCCGCTCATCCTTCTGCTGTCATCCTTGCTTCCTTAGGGAGACTTTGGTCAGCCCCTCTGTCTAGGTCAAGTTCCTTTGGCTTATGGGAGCAGTTTAGAATCACCTGGGTGGGGGTGGGGGGGACTTGTTAAAATACGGATCACCGGGTCCCATCCTGGACTTTCTGATTCAGCAGGTTTGGGGAGAGTCCAAGAACTAGTGCTTTACTAAGTTCCTACTAATGCTGCTGGTGTGGGCCACAGTTTTGAGAAACACTAGCTTGTGCTTTCGTGTCATCCCAACTTCATCTGGAATCACACACCTTTATTATAATTGTCTCTGCTCTAAGCTATGAGCTCCATGAAACAAAGACCTTGTCTGTTTTTGTACCTCATCACAAAGCTCGCTGGCACACAGAGGTGCTCAATTGATAGTTTTGAACAAATGAATGAATGAATGAATAAAGAAAGAAAGAAATCTGGTCTCCCCAAACCCCCTCTAGCAGACTGGAGCTCTGGATTGTACCCAGATCCCCCCCTCTATGAAGAAACTGGACTCCACATCCATTAGAACACACAGGATCTGGGGCGCTTGGGTGGCTCAGTCGGTTAAGCATCTGACTTCGGCTCAGTTCATGATCTCAAAGTTCATGGGTTCGAGCCCCGCGTCGGACTCTGTGCTGACAGCCAGCTCAGAGCATGGAGCCTATTTCGGATTCTGTGTCTCCCTCTCTCTCTGACTCTCCTCTGAGAGACCGCTCATGCTGTCTCTCTCTCTCTCTCAGAAATAAATAACACATAAAAAAAAAAAAAAGAACACACAGGATCTTAAAACCCTAACTTGAAGAAATAAGGGAACTTCCTAAGCGCCCCTTCAAAACCAGGAAGTAAGTGGAATTGGAGCTGCCCTTGGGGCTCACAGTAATGTTTCTCAGCATTTAACCTCCGTGGAGGTTAAAGAACTGCATGGAACT